CCAAAACCCCTTTCGTTTTCTCATAACGTTGTATTTTTTAAATTCTTCCCATCCCAAGGGACTTGTTAAGCATTACTTACTTACGAGCATTATATCCTTCTTCCATCGTTTGATTGTTCCACAGCTGCACAAACCGCACACAGGTTACCGGAATCGCACAAACATGAAAATACTGGAAGTTATCATGAAAACACCTTTCACCAATGAGACAATCGGGGACTCGGCACATGAAATAAGATGCTTCGCAAACCAAATTCACATATAGCTAAATAGATAATTCATTTCTTCTCAAAAGCATCGTGGCACACCAAATAAGCCTTGATCCTATTAAAAAGAACTTGTATTTACAATGCATAGACAGGATAATTTTTAATTATGTACCGCTGTTCTATTGCATTAATGCTGTAGTAACATTGACCAATAGCCAAAGTAGCAATTAATGTCATTCGTATTTTCCGTTCAGCAGCCATGGTAACCTCACTCGTAGCGCTCCGTCCAGTTTCCTTCGGAAGGTACATGTACTCACCTTTTCCGGAATTACTCAGTTTGCTCTTTGTTGATTCAGTTTCGTAAGTTGGTACCTGGAGTGCACATATCTTTTACTTCATCTATTCACATATTCTCTTAGATATTTAACACAGGTAGGCATTTTTGCTAAATCAATTTATAAGGCAAAGGTAATTATGATGTTAGCTGCTGAATTGTTTTATATAAGTGGTTCGTATTAGCAAAGTAGGGTGCACTCATCATCTACATGATTAATGAAATTCCCTCGTCTGGTAAGAGAAATTCCAACTGCACTGATTATGCAATCTTTACAATTTTCTGTGTTGTTGGTGCTTAAATGATCATTTTAAAGCACATATTTTGTTACGTGTTAGTCCATGCGTGTTACGCAACTTCCTAGAAAATGCATAACCGCTTTGAAGCTGCCTTCAAGGTGGTCGGTTTATCCAATGGCCCAGCTACTAAGCCGTGTGTAAAATCAGCCGATACCGTTGAACGAGAACAGCAACAATACTATCCTGCCCGATCACGGGTGTTACACTCGAGTTACTACCTGTTCTGTGACTAAATTATTCTTTATCAGCGTTCGCAACAGACGCCTTGAACGTCCAGGTCCCCGAGGAATTAGTGATGGATAGCTAAATGACGCAGGTTCGTGTTTATTACCTCAACATCGTGTAACATCCTCATTCGTCAACGCGTTTGCAACTTATGCAACCGTGGTTGTCTTTCCTTCCAAGCGATTACCGAATGTTGATGGGGACCTCACGTAAAGTGACCTTGCGGACCGTTTCCCTGGGAATACATGGCCATATCTGCCTACCAGGGATTTTGCGCCATTTTTGTTAAATCTATTGGTTGCTGCAGGCTAATTATTTTGTGTGGCAAATGTTCCTGGATGGTTTTCTGCCATTCAAGTCATCGTGTCAGCAAAGGTGGCCTATGTTGTGCCATTTAACCAGCCCAGTAATCACGAAGTCGTTTTTGGTCCGCATTTACGGCGGATTTCAGAACACTTCAGAAGTGGACAAATTCATATCATCCGTAGTGGCTGATATGAAACCTCTTCAAAACCATTAGCTGACCACGCTATCAGGAATATCTGTAACACGCAAGCACGGAAGAACTCCAAGGGCTGAGAACGAAGTTCTATTACACAACACGTAGCCTAGTTAACCAATATCGTGTTCTTGTTCTCCTCCGGTAATGGAGCAGGAAAGGCGCTCTGAAAGGCAAACGGGAGAGAGTGCCGTTATAGCAACGATTCAACTTTGAACGCGCGTCAAAACTATATCGATTCTTCTCTACACCACACCCCCTCTAAGCAGGCGGCGTCCCCGTTGCCACCCCATAGCCGCCCTGAGCCGGCACCTCCAGTTCAACTGCTACTTCTCCAGGCGTTTCGTTCGGCCCCTCGACAGATTGGTCAGTTTTACTCCGGAATGGCTTGAGTCGATTGAAATGTACTGTCATGGGTTGACTGGCAGGGTTGTTGGGATCTTTGATAACACATGTCACATCCGATATCACCCGCTGTATTATGTACGGTCCTGTCCACTCATGGTGTAGTTTAACCGGAACTTCTGCCGTTGGTACCTGGTACAAGTATACTTGGTCGCCAGCCTTTAAAGGGGCGCCGAAAACGTTCTTGTCATAATAGTCTTTCTGTCGTCGATGGGCGTTCCCAAGGTGAATACGTGCCGCTTGATGTGTTTGATGAAGCGAATCAAGGAGTTTGCTAACATACTCTGTTACCGATGAATGTGGCTGTTGCGGACTGGGTAATCGGATGTCAGACGGTAATCGGATTTCTCTTCCGGTCCACATAAAAGATGGTGTTTGACCAGTCGAAGCGTGCACTGTGCTTCGATATGCCAGCAAGCATTTTGGTAACATAGCGTCCCACTCACATACATTTTGCTCCACAAAGGCCTTCAGTTGCGATTTCAGCGACCGGTTTGTACGCTCAACTTGTCCGTTGCCTTGCGGGTGGTAAGCAGTCGTTCGCGTCTTGTCTATACCGAACACACGACAAAGTTCCTGAACCAGCAAACTCTCGAAACATGAGCGCCTATCAGAATGTAGCTGCCCCGGTGCTCCCCAGTGACACACCCAGTGATTTCCCATCGCCGTTGCTACGGTGAGTGTATCGGCTTGGGCGATCGGAACTGCTTCGCACCACTTGGTGAAATAGTCGACCATGACCAAGATGTACCGATGGCCACGTGATGTTTCTGGTAGGGGACCAACAAGATCTACTCCCACAATCTCGTTCGGGTAGCCTGCATTCATAGGCTGCAATGTTGCTCTCCTGGTGATGGTCGGGTTCTTGAATGTGGCGCATGTCTCACACGTCTGGCAAAAGTTAGTGACGTCTCTCCGTTGGTGTGGCCACCAACAACGTTGACGTGCTGCCGCTTCCAGTTTGTTGATTCCAGCATGACCCAGCTGTTCGTGCAGTTTAGATAGCACTTCGGAAACTAATGATCGCGGAACTACGATTCTCCTGATATAGTTTGGGCCAAAATCAAACACTAGCACACCTTCCTCGATAGAGAGCTTGTCCCACATCGCCCATACGCATCGAGCTTCGTAACTTTTTCCCTCCATTTCCTTCGCGGTAGGTTTGTCGCTCCCCAACAGCCGTTTGTCATAGATCGGTGATACGTCTGGATCTGCTGCCTGTGCCTCCTGCCAGCGACCGTACTCCGAACTTTGAAGGTTAACTAGAGCTACGTGTTGTGTACTACAAGACGGGCAGTCTCCATGAGCACGAGTAGGAAGTCTGGAAAGAGCGTCCGCGTTGGCATGCAGTGCACCAGGTCGGTGTCTGCACTCAAAATCATAATCCTGAAGTTGTTCCTGCCATCTGGCGATCTGTCCCTCGGGGTCTCTGAAATTCTGTAACCAACGAAGTGACTGATGATCTGTTCGTACCAGAAACTTCCTTCCTAATAGGTAGTGTCGGTTTTGTTTTATAAAGAATACTAGAGCTAGCATTTCCTTTCTGGTTGTGCAGTAATTCCGTTCTCTTGCACTGAGACTTCTACTGCTGTACGACACCACTCGTTCTATTCCGTCCTGCCCTTTCTGTGACAAAACAGCTCCAATCGCCTGGTCGCTCGCGTCCGTGTCTAGAATAAACTCCCCGGCATTTGGTGACAGATCGGGGAAAACCAACACCGGAGCTGCACAAAGGGATTCTCGTAACCGATCGAATGAATTTCGACACTCAACGGTCCATTCGAAGGTCTTACCTTTCTGTAACAAGGTATTCAAAGGCTCAGCGATCTCTGAGAACCCTTTCACGAATCGCCGATAGTATGAGGCCAACCCTAAAAAACTGCGTAGTTCATCAACGTTGGCAGGGGTTGGCCATAATCTCACTTGCTCCGTCTTACGAGGGTCAGTACGAATCCCCATCCCCGAAATGACGTGCCCAAGATACGTTACCTCGGTCTGTAGTAAATGGCACTTTGTGGACTGGAGTTTGAGGCCCACATTTACTAGGCGTGTTAGCACCTCTGCCAAGTTGTTTAGGTGCTCGTCTTTTGTTTTTCCGTGTACAATGACATCGTCCAGGTAAACGAGACACTTGTGGGGCATCAATTCGAGTAACACTTTTTGCATCAGTCGTTGAAAAGTCGCAGGGGCGTTAGAGAGGCCAAAAGGCATGGTTTGGAACTCATAAAAACCGGATGGTACTACAAACGCCGTTTTCGCTCTGTCGCTCTCCTCCACTTCTACTTGCCAGTAGCCAGAAGCCAAATCTAGCGTACTGAAATAAACTGATCCTCCCAGTGCGTCAAATAGATCATCGATCCTGGGGAGGGGAAAAGCGTCTTTTCGAGTAATCTCATTTAATCGTCTATAGTCGACACATAGGCGAAAACCACCATCCTTCTTTTTCACTAGAACAACCGGGGCTGCCCATGGTGAAGTCGAGGTCCGTATTACCTCCTTTTCTATCATGTCATCTATGAGCTTTTGCAATTCAGTCTGCCAATGTAATGGTATGCGTCTTGGGGGGATTTTAATCGGGATTGCATCACCGGTGTCGATACGGTGTTTCACGAGATTGGTTCGACCCAAGTCGGTACTGCGCCATGCAAATGCGTCTGAGTGGTTGCGCAACACGTCTTTGAGCCGGTTCAGTGTCTGCTCATCCGTGACTCTGTCGAGTGAGCGAATAAAGGCGTTAATGTACTTCTCACTCTCTAAGGTGTCCTCATAGGTTGTAGATGCTTCCAAAGCACCACTTCCACAGGGTTTTAACAAAACTGTACAGTTATCGGTGATTAGTTGGCGCCTGTCCAGATCCAATCGACACTTCAACCGGCGTAACAGATCCATCCCAACAATAACAGCAAACGGAATTTTGTCCGCAACAATAAACTCCTGGGTGAAGTTCTGTTTCGCGACGTCAACTTGTGCGGTTAGGGATCCTCGAACGGAAAACAATTCTCCATTGGCGGCAGTTAGTCGGCAGTGACAAGGCGCGTATACACGTTCTGCTAGCTGGTTAGTCAAACTAGATCTGATTAGGCTCTTACATGCACCTGTGTCGATGAGACCTATCAATGGAACCCCTGCGATCTGTAATTCTATTGCTAATGCTGAATCTGTGGTCGACGCACAAACAATAGCTGGTATAAAGTGCGAATGCGATCGGTGCCACTCACCTGGGCGTCCGTTACTGTAGCGAGGTAGACCACGATTCGGAATTGGTCGGCGGGGCCACCGAGAACCCTGTTGCGTTGGTCGCCATGAGCCTGAATATCTTTGCTGATAGTCAGGATGCCACGTTAACCGTTCAGTTGGCGCACGTCTGGGGCGTCCATTTCCCCTCAAAGCGAAACACCCGGAAGGCGGCGTGGTCATCGTTATGTCGACCTGCTCAAGTTGTTCGCCAATTGGTACGGCTGCATCCAACTCCTGCGGGGGGTGAAGAAGAAATTCACGTTTAATGGATGGTGTTTGGATTCCTTCTAGGAGTTGTTCTAGTATACGTTTATCACGGTCGCTTGATGACTCACTCTCGGATGCGGTGTCGGCCATCTTTCGGAGTTCGCGCACGTAAGTCCTAATGCTCTCTCCGGGCCACTGGTACCGTGAGTGGAACTCCCTGCGTGGGGGAGCAGGCAATGCAGGAGGGTCCAGTAGGCGGCGCAAGGCAGTGAACGTCTCAGACGTGACTTCTGTTTCCAGAATTTTACTATCAGCAACGGCATCAAAAGCATCTCCTGACAGTAAGCCGGCGAGCACGCCTGAATGTTGGTGGACTGGGAACTGCCGGAGGTAAAGCTGGACTTGTTTCTCCCATCTGGAGTACGGCATCCCGGGAGTGTAACGCTCCGGAGGTGGGATTGCATGCATACAGACTGGCGAACTCGAGCCTGTTGACAACTTTTCCAAAGCACGGGACAAAACATCCAGTGAAGCGGAAAGTCTGGTAGTGGGGTCAACGACATCAGAATGGCCTTCGTCATTAGACTTGTTCATTTTTGGCATGATCTTCATCAGACTAATGATGATGGATTCCTGATTCTTGTGACTTGGCAGGGTCGCCACTTTGTAACACGCAAGCACGGAAGAACTCCAAGGGCTGAGAACGAAGTTCTATTACACAACACGTAGCCTAGTTAACCAATGTCGTGTTCTTGTTCTCCTCCGGTAATGGAGCAGGAAAGGCGCTCTGAAAGGCAAACGGGAGAGAGTGCCGTTATAGCAACGATTCAACTTTGAACGCGCGTCAACGCAATATCGATTCTTCTCTATATATCAACTAAAAATTTTAACCTCCAAG